TATATATATATAGTATATATGAAATAATAAAATGATATTTAGATTTTTTTTAAATTTCAGGGTGAAATATGACCTGAACATTTCTTTATGCATTTCACCATAATGTACAAAATTAACTTAAAATTTTTACTTTAGAGCGATAAAATTGCACTTATTGAAAGAGATTATATTAATGATCAAAATGGTGTTTAATGAATTACCCATAATCTTTTGCTATTTTGACAGGGTCCTAATGGTCGCCCTGGTCTGCCTGGAGCTGATGGTCTTCCAGGACCTCCAGGGACTGTCCTGATGTTGCCTGTATGTAAATCTGAGCACAATTACCGGATACACACTTACAAAAACTACACAATAAAATGATGCACAAACAACTGATTCATACACATTTGCACGTCTTTTAGCTTTTAGAATTAAAGCCCCGTTGCCCTGTACTTACTGAGATCAGTTTTAGCCTGTAGACGAGATCTGCAGTGCGTCATTATGAATGTGCACTGGCTTGATTTATTTTCAGAGTGGTTTAACAGTGATAATTATTTCAGAGAGATATCAGAAACATAATGCTCCCTTTGCTGCTGTGATTCCCCATCAATCTCACGCTGGTTAATGCAGTGAGACATTTTGCAAATTCCACATCATACTCCCAGCTTTTCCAAATGTCCTCTTTCCCAGCTGTTACTCCAATACAGGTTTTTTTTATTATTCTGGAACGTGTATCGACTTCACAATGTCTTTCAGTCGAGAGTTCTGGAATGCTTCCATGGCAAATCCAGATGTTCTGAACACCACATTAAAAAAGATGTTGTCCGTTTTGTAAATGTGTTTACAGTCAACATGTGATTGTAATTAAACCCCACCCTAAACACTACCTCTCCTCACCGCCCCAGAAATACCCATGAAAATCAATACAGAGTCATGAAGCAAAGGTTCACTTTGAAGCGTTCTGACTCTTGGAAGTGTAGTGAATGAGTTCAGCCACCAGATGGCAGTGCTGATCAATTTGACTCATGCACAGAGATGAGGGCACAGAAACACATAACTGCATACTACTGTACTAGCAGAGGCGGACAGTAGTGAAGTATTTTTACTTTACTCAAGTAAATTTAAAAAGTATCTGTAGCTTATCAGAGTGTTATTCTTTGGAAAACTTTACTTCACTACATTCCAAAGCATAATGTCATACTTTTTACTGCACTTCATTTCAGAAATAAAAGTTGTTGTTTGTTTTACCTTTAATACTTAAGAACATTACAAATTTAGTACTTTCTTGTACTCAAGTACATCTTTGCATTATTTTTACTTGAGTAAAAGAAAGAAAGTAATATATTTCTAATGTAATTAAGTATTAACTGGTATTTAATATGAAACGTAGTGCAGTAAAAAGTACAATATTATGCTTTGGAATGTTGTGAAGTAAGGTTTTCTAAAGAAAAACACTCTGATAAAGTACAGACACTTGAAAAGTACTTTTACAGCAGAATAAAAATACTTCACTACTGTCCGCCTCTGCTTACTAGTCATACTATTTCTGCTTTTCTTTATATGGAAGAAATAGTAAGAGTAGTATGCTAGTCTGAATTCAGCTATAGGGTATATTTGGAATTACATACTACCACATTTTTATATTTATTTATTTATGTATTACGTAGGGTACACTACTGCAGTGTTCAAAAGTTTTATCTTATTTTATTTTATTTTACATATAATGAACTTTTTAATATAGATTAAACAATTTAGAGCTATTTTATTTTAAACTGCATTCTTTTTTTTCTTTTTTTTTAACATATAATGAATATTTAAACATTTTAACTTTAGAGTTATTTTATTTTATTTGAAAATATACTGAACATTTTCAACTATGTGAAACACTTTATATCTATTTTATATTTGAATACAGAATTTTAGTTTTTTTAACATATAATGATCTTTTTAAAATAGATGAAACACTGGAACTATTTTATTTTTAAATGCATAATTTTATTTTATTTGAACATATAATGACCATTTTAAAATAGATGGAATACTTTAGAATTATTTTATCTTCTTTTATTTGAACATATAATGAAAAATTGTCAGAGGATTTTTAAAATGTATTTTTATTGTATTTTATGCAAATGACCTGTATTTATTGCTATAACTAAATGCCACTCATTGAGTGTAGCATGCAACTTATTCAAGCATCCAAAACAAATCATCCAGTTAACGTTAAGATAAAATAAATGTATATATTTATTTTACATTTTTATTTAAACATTTTATTTTCAAGTACATTTTACTGAATTTTATTTAATTTTATTTGAACATATATAGAACATTCTAAAACAGGTAGCACTCATGCTATAATGTCTAACATATTTCTTTCAGTCTGAATGCTGATAGTTTGGTACCGTTCTGTCTCTGTAGTTCCGCATGAGTACAGGAGGGGACAGCGGACATAAAGGGCCTGCAGTTTCTGCCCAAGAGGCTCAGATGCAAGCCATCATGCAGCAGGCCAGGGTAAAAACACACACATACACTAATACACACACACACACACACACACACACATGCATCTCTATGCAAACTAATCGCTCCGTGTCATTATTATATAGCTGGCGATGAGGGGTCCAACCGGACCCATGGGTTTGACAGGCCGTTCTGGTCCTCTGGTATGTCTGTAAATCTGTTTTCAGTCTGTCGAAATGATGATATCTATGATATTATAATGAGTCTGATAATGTTTCATGCTTGATTTGATTTTCCCAGGGGCCTCCTGGTGTGTCTGGACTGAAAGGAGAGTCTGGAGAATCAGGACCTCAGGTAGGCATCGCATATTACCCACAATCCTCAGCTTTTTGACAGTATTTGAAGACAGTTTAATGCAGGATAGAGCTGTTCTGAGACCTGTGTGTGTGTGTGTGTGTTTTTAGGGTCCTCGTGGTCCACTGGGATCCCTTGGCCCTCCTGGAAAGCCTGGTAGAAGGGTAAGTTTGCGTTTTGTTGTTATTATTATTGACCTGATCATTCTGTATAAATAGATTTATGAACAAGAATCATGTTTTCGGTGGCTTAGGGTCGACCCGGCTCAGATGGAGCCAGAGGGATGCCTGGACAGACGGGACCAAAGGTAAAACTAATGAGATTAACGGTAGACAAATATCTTTTAGCATAAGTCAAGTCAAGTCTGCTTTATTGTCAATTCTTCCACATGTACAGGACATACACACAGAGAATTGAAATTGCGTTACTCTCAGACCCTTGGGTGCATACAGATAACATAAATACAGATTAAATACAAAATACAAATATACAACCATACAAATATACAAATAAGGTCAAATGTAAAAATATATATATAAAGCACAAGGCATATGGCAGATAGAGTGCAAACCAGTAAAGTAAGCAACAGTGCAGATATAGTGATTGGAGTGCAAAAAAAGGATTTGTAGTGCAAAAGAGCTTATTTCGACTGATTAAAGTGACAGTGTGTGTGTGAGTATTTGGGAGGGGGGAGTGGGAGAGTCCGTTAGAGGGTCAGAGTTCAGTGGTGCGTGGGGCAAAAGAGGGGAGGGGGGGCAAGGTCGGGAGGGAGTTCAGCTTCCTGACAGCCTGATGGATGAAGCTGTCCTTCAGTCTGCTGGTCCTGGCCTGGAGACTCCGCAGTCTCCTCCCTGATGGCAGCAGACTGAAGAAGCTGTGTTTCGGGTGGGTGGGATCACCTGCAATGTAGAGGGCTTTGCGGGTGAGACGGGTGTTGTAGATGTCCTGAAGGGAGGGGAGAGAGGCACCAACGATCTTCTCAGCTGCTCTCACTATGCGTTGAAGTGTCTTGCGGCAGGACGCGTTGCAGGCGCCATACCACACAGTGATGCAGCTGGTCAGGATGCTCTCGATGGTGCCTCTGTAGAAGGTGCACATGATGGGGGCCGGGGCTCTGGCTCTTCTCAGTTTGCGGAGGAAGTAGAGACGCTGCTGTGCTTTCTTGGCCAGTACAATAATGAATTGTGCGCAATAAGATGACAGAAAGTAAAAAGGGCCAACTTTGATTTCATGTAGACAAATTACAGTAGTAAATAATTGTTTCTTATTTATAAAATGTTAATATCCTGCCATTCTGAACTGTTTCCTGTGTGTGCTTCACAGGGTGACCGAGGATTCGATGGGCTCGCTGGTTTGCCTGGAGAAAAGGGTCACAGGGTAAACACATTTAAAATAAGTGGAACACTTCAGAGCTTTTATTTTATTTTTTGTTTATTTCATTTAATTTAAATTCATTTCAATTCATTTCATACTTTACAGCTTCTTATCCAATCTTATTTTAGTATAATTGAGATACTATTTTATTATTATTTTTTTTTATTTTTATATTTGATAGTTTTAGTAATTTTCTTCTGTTTGTCATTTTTTTGTAGTTTTTAATATGTCTGTATTGTTTTTATAAATTTTTTTTTTTTTGTACGTCAAATTAAACAATTAAAATGAGCAATGATCTGAAAAGTTTTTTATATTTTGTTTTATTCTAGTTAACGAAAAATATATTTTTAATGGTTTTAATTTTAGTTTTTGTTTACTATAATAACCCTGTTCTGACCGGCCAGTCTTAAGAAAATGATTTCAATTGAGATCAGCATTTAATGTCCATTTGTGTATTTATTTGGCATTAAAAGCATCACAGGGTAAACACATGTTTATGAACATTTTAAAATATGTGAACAGCTACTTTATTATATATTTTATTTTATTTCCAAATACATTTTTTTATTTGTACATATATTGAGCATTTAAAAATAAAATAGGTGGAAAACTTTAGAGTTTAATTTTATTTTATTATTAAATGGCTTTCTGCAATACATGATTCTTTAATAAAATGATTTTAATTGAGATGAAATTTAATTTATTTGGCAGTACTCATGTAAAAAGGAGGGTGATTCATTCTATGAAAACTAATGAGTGTGTCTTTGTGGTTGTTGTAGGGTGAGATGGGTCCTCAGGGGCCTCATGGGCCTCCAGGAGAGGATGGAGAAAGAGTAAGAGCTTCTTCTTTTAATCCCTTCCTGTTTCCTTCATCATCTGTGTTATTGTTCTATGTCTAAATGGATCACAATGATGACATCATTTCCTGTATCCCCAGGGTGGCGATGGTGAGGTCGGACCCAGAGGTCTGCCCGGAGAATCGGTGAGATCATATTTCCTCCAGTATCCCAGCATGCTCTCTTATCCTCTGCTATCCGCCACTAGATCATAGTGTTACGTAACACAACATTTCCTCCAGTGGAGTGAAACAACAAATCCATTCCACTCATTTTTTTGAGGTGTCCACTGCATTTTGCTTGTTATGGATGTGAAGTGAGAGAAACATTCAGAGACAGAAAATGTAGAGGAGATGAAAATGTTCAGTCAATTAACCACTAGTTAATATAACATTTTAAGACTCTGTCCAGCAGGGGGCGCTCCATGTTCACCATTTAGATTGAGAGTGACTTTATCTGCTCTTGCATATACACATAAACACAATCACTTATGTCTGATAAGATGCACAAAGTATGTTTTTCAACATTAAAAAAGGTCTATACCTCTATAAAAGGTCTATACCTAAATAAATAGTATTCTGGGCTTGTGTGCATACCTGTCAACATTTGGGTACCAAAATCCGGGAGACCTCTGGGGGTGGGGGTATGGTCAGGGTATCTGCAGGATTTTTCAAATCAAATGTAAGAATTTAAGACCTTTTTTAAAACCTGCACCATTATTATATTAATCAAAAAATATATTATTAAACAATTATATTAATTCATTAACCTAAATATATATGGGTCATAAAAATATGGGTCGATTTCTGCTTTGGTCTGAACAAAAATAGCAGAAGTCCTATTGAGAAATGCATATTCATTCTCTGCCAGCAGGTGGCACTTTCTGAACGGCAGAAATATAGCGGTTTCCCTGGTAACAGCAGTAGACAAAGCAGTGTAGCACCTGACTTTGAAACGTGCAGCGCTAAAATTTAATCAATTAAATCATAACCTTTTGAAGTTTAATCATAAAAAAATTAAGAAATTAATCACAATTAATACTTTCTTGTACCATTTACGACTTTTTATGGCCTTAAATCTCATACAAGATTTAGGAGGGTGCCGATGAGTGGTAGTGGTGGTGATGGATGGCAGAGGCATATGAAATGCACATAAATAAACTTCCGAAATGGCCAGTGTGCCCTGTGCCTCCGCTAAATGATTGTGCCATTGTGATTTAATGTGCCGAGTAACATCATTTTCCCCACCGTGTCCGATATTAAAATCAGTGTGACATGATTTGCAAAAGGCGTGGGCATTGTCCATATGGCTTCCGAGATATGAAATTAAATTCTTCCGTCCAGCTGTTGTTAAATTTACATGTATATTTAGTTTTTTCACCGGAGCACAAGCGTCACCCGAGTCTTTTCCTCCCATGTCTACCACTTGATTAAACTTCCCGCGTCTGGTGCCTGTGCAGATATCAACAGAGCAACTGGGTTGTAGGTTGCCAGGTTGAGGGCACAAATGGGTTGAAATTTGTATGATGTGTCGATTGTGTGAGTAGGATGCATTTCATACAAGATCTGGCAACTGGACAACCTTGGAATAATATATTGATGTGATTATTCATATAACGAGGTTTGGGCTATACAAATTACGGGAGTTTCCCGGGAGAAATAACAAAAACGGGAGGGGGCGGGTGTGAAATACGGGAGACTCCCGGGGAAAACAGGAGTGTTGACAGGTATGCTCATGTGTTTAAAAAGAAGCACATGAGATGAAGAGTCATTTAAGTGACATAGAAAAAGGTTTTATTCTTATTGAGTAAAGTGTGCCTCAAACACAGCCTGTCTGACTCAAGCGAAAGGAAACATTGTAAGTCTGAGACACACACACACACACACACACTTGTGCATATACAAACATGCTTATACATGCACATATTCACTTTATTATGCTTCTGTTTTCACCCATCAGGGTCCTCAAGGTGAGCCAGGACCTCCAGGACAACAAGGCAACCCTGGAGCTCAGGTATTTATCAAGCCACGCCCACTCAGACACGGTCTAACCCACCCGACATTAATCAGTTAATGTCCTCTAATTCTGTCCTCTTCCACAGGGACTTGCAGGTCCTCAGGGAGCGATCGGACCTCCAGGAGAGAAGGTGAGATCGCATGAATGGATGATCAATGGATGCTTATCTGGTTAATGGATTAAAGCCTTTATATGGAGTTTGTGTGTGTGTGTGTGTGTGTGTGTGTGCGTGTGCGTGTGCGTGTGCGTGTCTATTGATAATGTTTATTTTTGTCTATTATTAATGTTTATAAAAAAATCTTTAGAAAATAAGCAGCGAAGCAGTTTTGATATTATTATTATTATTATATAATTGAAAAACCTTTGACCACCAAATCAAAGCCATTTTGCTGTTATGTGACAAGAAAACCATAAAACTATAAATTTTTTTGAAAATAATGATAAAGATGTATACATTTTATTACTTCTTACTTACACCACTTGATATTTTTATAGTGATTAATGTAAAATATTTACTGAAAATGGTATACACAGTTTTTTCAACCCTGCATGAATACAAAGCTTACATATCTAAGAATTTGTCACATGTTTGATTTTCATCATTCTTGACATTCATATTTATCATTAACCCTTCTACACACTAGTGTTAATTTCGTTAACGAAAACTATGACGAAAAATGTTCGTCAACGAGGTTTTTTCCCCCTGATGACGAGACGATAATAAGGTCATTAAACGATAACTGAGACTAAATGAACATGCAATATCGTTGCAGAAAAAAGACAAGACTAAAATGTAGTTAAAAGAACAAAAACTTTACCAAAACCTTTTTATTTTTGTTGAAAAAAGTGGAGCCAAAACATTTCAGACTGCTGTACAAAACTGTATTAAGCGAGCGTTCATGTTTGCGGTTGCCAGATATCAAGAGCTCAAATCCCCCGATCAGAGCTTTTCTGTTAAACGGATATGTACTCTACCCAGCTCTTTGCTTTATGCAATCTGGCAACCATTCACTTGCGCTCTCCCTGCGGAGATGCCGTGATTTGAAAACACAGACATAAAGGACTGTACAAGTAAGCTGGAGTTCAGCAATCTCTGTTTGAGGTATTCTGCTTAAATGAAAGTGTCATTCAGCCAGTCTGTGTTCTGCCATGGATCTCGACTGTATTGTTCGCGATAGTGGTTGCGGATTGTAACGTTACTTACACAACCTCCTGTTTGCCGTTGTTTTAAAAGAGAAACATTAATGCAATTTGGAATGATTGGAATTACTATTAGGAATTTCTCTGTTTAATATTTGAGAGTAGGTTTTTGTTACACCAGTTTTCATAACGTAGACAGGGCGAGTGATCTGAAGTCTGGTGTTTATTTAGCCTCTAATTGATATCCTGTTATAAATCTGTACACTAACGTTAGATGAGGTGAAATAAACCATGCATACGAGTCGATATTCTATTGATTTGTGCTTACTGGGGAAAGAGCAACTTCTGATGAAATGTAAAAATAAATTTCCCAAATGACAACAATCATTGCAATTAAAATTGAGCAATATATATATTTTTTTCATAATTTTAACCATTATACAGTAAGACGAAAATATTCAAGTTTCCACTGACTAGACTAAAATTCTCAGACATTTAGTCGACTGAAACTTGACTAAAACTAAAACAGGACAAGTTGACTAAATATAATAAAAACTAAAAGTTACATTTGACACAGGACTAAGACTAAGACTAAATTTAAAATAACTGACAAAATTAACATTACTACACACTGCCCACTTTAACGTATTGTTCTCTCTACTGGATAATCTTTATGGATGTGTGTTGAAACAGGAAAAGTGTGCTGAGTGTTAATGGATTGAGTGCTTATGCTGGTTTTCCTCTCTTCAGGGTCCCACTGGAAAACCAGGCTTAGCAGGAGTGGCAGGAGCTGACGGACCTCCAGTGAGTCCGGGAAATACACACACACTCACTCACACACACACACACACACACACACACGCTTCACGTCTGATCATCTCAAGCTCCATTGTTTCAGAGAGATATTAATAATTACAGTACAGTGATCTGCCTGGCAGTTCTTCAGAGACACACATTGTTCACATCCGATCACAAGGCCTATTCTCTACACATTTCATGGCTTTATATTTAGTTATTGCTGCATAACTTGTCGTTTCTCTTTATCTTTGTGTCACAAACACAGGGCCACCCAGGAAAAGAAGGGCCATCCGGCGAGAAAGGACACTTGGTACATGTTTATCCTTCATTTCTCTATCCGACGAGTTTCTTTACAGACAGTTCTCTTGTACAAATCTAGCTTCAGATGTGATCAATAACTCCATCCATAACTGATTGTGTTTGACAGGGACCTCCGGGTCCTCAGGGGCCGATCGGATATCCTGGCCCTCGAGGTGTAAAGGTAGGTGTTTCTTAATCCTCATTGGTCATAGCAGCACTCATAATGATCTCTCATTGGTCAGTGGATATTGTAGTTCTATAGTAGTAAGTTGTAGGTGAAAAGTCACCCAACTCGTTTTGCCTCTAGCTTTTTCCTTATAGTGAAACAGAGATGGCACCCTGCTAATGTTTCTGATACTTTCCTGAGGCACAATCATCTGAACTTTATAACTTTATATATTTTAGAAATAAAATAAAATAAAATTCAAACTTAAAATATAGTTAGAAGTCAGTCTTCACGGAAAATGTAATCCCATAATGCATTGTGAAGAATCCATAATGCATTATCCAAAATGGCAGATGAAACAAGATAATTGTTTAATATAGATATACCTATATTTCATGCCAAAATGCATAGATTAAAAAATGTGCAATTCAATTAAAATGCACTATTGTAATCCATTGTTTATTATTATTATAGAGACAGTAGAGAGTCCAGTGGCTTACCAGGGCTCAAAACAGAGCTTTAATCACCTAAATGGTTTTTAGACAGCATTCGTGAGACAGTGAGTCAATCGCAGGGGTTTGGCTTCTCAGATGTTTTTAAGTTTTGATGGACTCTGCTGATCTTTTTTCTTTTGCTCTTTCGCTCTTTCTATCTGCAGGGTGCTGATGGAGTCCGCGGGCTGAAAGGAAACACGGGTGAAAAGGTAATTTCAGAGTGTGTTCGTGTGACTGTGTCCGTCTGGATACGAGCTGTTGTGAGTGTGTGCCGACGGCTAATGCACTGCTCCTGTGTCATTAATGTTTCATTTCTGCTTCTGAAAATGGAAACCAGTGTACTCCAAGATGCATTTTTGACCTTCTCACTTTGGTCATTAAAATGTTTTACCCTGCAAGAGTGCAGCAGGAAAATAAGATCAGGCCTCGGCAAATAGCAGAAATACAGTAGCAGTTGCCATGGAGATCGGTCCTTTCGCATTTGTCAAAAATGGGGTATTATGTGCGAAAGGAAATTTGCAACGCTCTCAGTGTCATATCTTCATCTCTTTCTTTCTCAGGGAGAAGACGGATTTCCAGGATTTAAGGGAGATATGGGCATCAAAGGCGACAGGGTAAGAGACTTATTCGCAGGTTGAAGAGGTTATTTGTTTTTGGCTTTATCTCTGGAGAATTATGGGATTTGATGTCTCTTTTCACTTGGGTCGATCTTTAATTCTCAGAGCATCTCTGAGGAAGCACATAAATCGCAGTGGGTCTATATTTAGTGGTGCATCACTATTACTTTTGCTCATACCTGCTTTGGGATTTGAACAGATTTAGACATACACAGAAAAAAGGACCCCAAGGACCATAACCTGGGAATTCGGCCACATAGAAATGTGCTAAAAACACCTTAGCGATCACGTATTCCCAGACGACACGCTGCTGAATCTATTTCAAAGACGTTTTTCACACAAAATGCCAAGAAATGTTGTCATTGTGGACTCCAGAAGTCGGTTGAAGGGCATGTATAATATTCACCCAGCCTAACTGATCAGATTTTTTGGTGTTATAAAGTCCGCTGATTGTAATAAGCAAACGTACACCGCTCTGGGTTATTAGGGACCAATATACAAACGCTTCTGGATGTAAATATACATTTATAGAAGTGGTTCTCAGTCTTTTTGACTGTAATGTCACAGTAATATTCAAAGGCGTCCCCTTTTTCAATTGACAGAAATTAGGAGATTAAAATAAGTAAAATAAATAATTTGATTATAATTAAAATAAAAAAGTTGAATTGTAGAAGAAATGGTTTTTAGTTGTTATATATGTGTGTGTATATATATATATATGTATTGGTTTCTAAAATATATAGTTATGAATGTAATTTTGTTACATTTAAAAGTTACATTTTTAATTTTGGGGTGAATTACATTAGTAAATATAATAATTGTCATTGTCACAAATATAATAAAATATATGATAAATATAATATAATAAATATAATAAAATTGTCATTTTAGTTTATTTTAAAGCTTGTTTAGTCTTATTTTAAAACATTTTAAGTAATCTTAGTGCCCTTGTTTGCTTTAAACAATTTAATTATTAGCAATAATTAAATTGTAAAATTCCTGAAATTTGGGGGTGAATTAAATTAAGAAATATCTTATTTTATTGGTTGTTTTAGCTCATTTTAAAGCTTGTTTTGTCTTACTTTAAATCATTTTAAGTAATCTTGACACCATCTTGGAAGTTTGCTCTAAATAATTTAATTATTTAAAAATAATTAATTGTAAAAATTTCAGAAGGTTTTGGGGGTGAATTATTTTAATAAATATCTCACTTTTTAGTTGTTTTAGCTCATTTTAAAGCTTGTTTTGTCTTATATTAAAACATCTTGAAACACCCTTGGAAGTTTGCTTTAAATAATTTCATTATTTCAAATAATTAAATTGTACCATTCCAGAAATTTGGGGGTGAATTAAATAAAGAAAATATTGTAATTTTTGGTTGTTTTAGCTAATTTTGTCTTATTTTAAAACATTTAAAGTCATCTTGAGCCCCCCTTGCAAGTTTGCTGAGGAATTTAAAAGAACTTCTTCTATGCTTTTTAATGTATTTCCCCCCTGAAAGCCATTTATTATTTATCCATCCAGTTATTACGTTAGTTAATGTTCATGTAAATTTAAATGAATGTAAATGAGCTCTGATATGATTGGCTGGCATACAGCTGTGATTGTCAGTCATTCATTGGGACAGGCCTGTAAAAAAAATCTACAAAGTCTCATATAAATCCTAATGTATTCAGGGAGAACTTGGTGCCGCCGGACCCAGAGGTGAAGACGGGCCTGAAGGACCCAAAGGAAGATCTGGTTTACTTGGAGATGCTGGACCGCTCGGGCCGACCGGAGAGAAGGTGAGTGTATATCTATACAGTATATGCATCGTGAAGTTTGTCAGTGTTTTGTCACGACGGATTAGTTATATTTCTTCTGTGTACTTTGATTTTAGGGTAAGCTTGGTGTACCCGGGTTGCCAGGTTATCCAGGAAGACAAGGCCCCAAGGTAAATACACCCGGTCTGCCTGTGATTACCCAGCATCCACAGCGGCCGTGTTCGAGTGTGTGCATGTATTGATAGAAGGACAAGGTTGTGTGTGTGCGTGCATGCATTAGAGTGGGATTGGAAGGCAGACATGTTTGAACTTCTTGATCAAAGCTAAGTGGATTTACCCATAATGCCATCTGGTGTCAGCTTTCCGTTTAACCGTGACCCAGCATGCACTGCTGCAACAGCACTTTTCTTCTCTTCTCCTCCTTTTATCCCTCTCCCCCTCCTCGCTTTGATGGACCTGTGAATTAATCTCTCTCTCTTTTCCTCTTCAGGGTTCTCAAGGATTCCAGGGATTCCAAGGAACCAGTGGAGAGAAAGGCACGAGGGTGTGTTAAAAAGAGAGCCGTATGGATTTGAGTTTTCCTGTCTCTTTTTATTTCCCTCACACACCCTTTTTCCTCATCTTATTTTATGTTTTGTTTTTTGTTTTTTTGAGTAGTGAAAAGATATGCTCTCTCTGGTTTTCTCTCGAATTTTGAGAAAGAAATGCAGGGTGTTCATTTAGGCTAACATAATGCAAAAGATTTAATATAACACGTATGTCAGATGTAATATAAACCATTTCAATAAATGCAATTTGATTAATCTTATAAAGTGAACCAGAAAATCAACTTACCTCTATTCCAATTAGATTTTTATTCTCTGTCATGTGATATCAAGATATACAATGCGAAGCAATTCAGAAATTCAGAAGCACCGTTAGGGGAACATTTGACCCCAAACAGGGTTATTATTATTAACTAAAACTAAAACTGTTGAAAACATTCTAATTGAATAAAGATGAAGTTATATAAAATATAAATATTAGATGGAAAACCTATAAATGAATTGAACATATAAAAATAAATAAAAACTAAAACTGAAAATCATAATATAAAAAAAAACTAATACAAATGACAAAAGCACATAAAATGACTAAACATTAAACTAAAATTAAAAACTGATAATATAAAATAAATAAAAACTAAAACTGAAATAAAAATGAACTTAATCTAAATAGTTATATTTAAAATAAATCAAACATTAAACAAAACCAAAAAAATGAAATATAAAAATAAAAGTTAATTCAAAATATTAATAAAAAATATAATAAGTATATGAATAATATGGTGAGAAAATATTTTACTCACCATCATGTCATACCATATTTCAGGCAGAATAAATAAAAATGACAACAAAAAAACAATAACAAAGTGTCTAATAAAAAGAATCATTTCAACTTGTGCTCTCTATATTAGAAGTGAAATCAGGGGTTTAATCTCAGTGTATGGAAGCTAACAGTCTCTGAGCTGTAGTGTGTGTGCTACCCTTATGGCTAAGAAAAGCTGGGAAAGGCCCTGAGTAAACTCCCAGCTCTCCGCACCGATGCTTTATTGGCTGTATATCATCACATTTAAGCTGAGAGCAGCAGCCGGCTGCCATTAGGAAGACAATGCAGTCTCCCATAAACACATTATAATCCAAAAACCTCTTATTCTCTCAAGCCATTAAATACACACACACACACAATCTATCAATCTCAGACTGCATTCATCTGTTGATGCAAAACTTTCTATGTTCCGCCATTACTGTCTGCATGAAGTATTCATGAGATGGAGAGATGCTAATATAATCTACAGATAATCAAATTAATCACAATGTTCTACTAGGCTGAAACCATTGCTTATGGCTTTGTTGAAATTACACAATTAATGACTGAATTTGCTGAAAAGAGCATTTGAACAGTAAGTGAAGCGCGAGAATTGAAAAGCTTACATTTATTTAGTTATCTCTACTTCTGAATTTGAATAATAAATGTTATTATAAAAACAAAAATAGTATTAAATGAATAATTGTTCATACAATGCAGTTTAATTATTATATATTATTGTTAATTTAAAAATATTTATATATATTATATATACATACATATTTATATATTTATTTTATTAGAACTTATTAAATATAGAAAATATCTTTTAAAACTATATTAAATTAATATTTATTCACAAAATGCACAGTTTAATTATTATAGCATTTATTGTATTAGAATTTATTCATTATAACATAATATCTTTTAAAAATAAAATAAAATAAGAAAAGTAATTGTTGATATAAAAGTACTGATTGATATAAAATGTTTTTTTTTCTTTCCATTATTTCATATATTATTCACTCTCACAAACAGGGGACAGCAGGGAAGCCGGGACCCCGAGGACAGAGAGGACCTACGGTAAGACAACAAAGTTAGGACAAAAACAAACAATACGTACCCTTTTCAGTGTAGGACTTATTTCACTCACTGCTTTCTCATACTTCTTGTGATCTTTTCTGTAGGGACCCCGTGGTGAAAGAGGGCCGAGGGGACCAACTGGGAAAGCAGGACCAAAGGTGAGGCTGTCCTTTTTAACCACTATTTTATATTTGTGAAATTCTATAATTAAATGAGATGATGCTGTATTGAGGCAAAGCCCTTTTCAGGGGTCTTCTGCCTTAGTAAATAAATAATGTAACATCCAAATGTAAAAACACAAAGAAAATCGGATCATGCATGCATTCAAGCATGCATAAAACAAGTGTTTGGCACATACAAATGTAATTAGGAAAAGCACCCCACACCCCGACTGACTGAAAGAAAACATCTCTGGCTTCAGTAGATTTTAAAACTCTTTCATCATTTGTGGTGCTCTGAAAGCTAAACGTGTTGACAGGGGCAAATGGTGCTCCTATTACATTTCAGAACGCAAGGTTTGTCTCCACGGCTCAGCTGGAACTAATTCAAATGCAACAGGGATTTTAGCGATCTGCATATCCTCTATCAGTCGAACAAATCTTTAATGGTACTCATTACCTCTGGCAATAAGCATAAGTCTTACATTATCAATAATTAATCCCATTTGCATGGACATTTATACAAACATTCTGAAATATTAAAACATTCTGTTTAATTAGCCTTTTCTCATTTGCTTCTCCTCCCCACCTTCACAGGGCAACTCAGGAAGCGACGGCCCCCCAGGACCACCCGGTGAACGGGTACAGTATAAATAGTAATTGAATCCTTCCAAAGTATCGATTATTGCTTCAGAGAGAGATTGAACGTTAGTTTTTTTCCCTGCTTTACAGGGTCCGTTAGGCGCAGCGGGACCTACTGGATTCCCCGGCCCTAAGGGTCCACCGGTAAGTGACGTTAACACTGTAGAAATAACTATAGAAATCCCTCTTTCATCCAATCATCTGTCCTGATTCTCTCCCTCTCTCTCGTTTTCAGGGTCCTCCCGGAAAGGACGGGCTGCCCGGACACCCTGGCCAGAGAGGAGAGACTGTGAGTGGCATCTGATATGACCACACACACACTTTCATTCACATACTTATGGCAATAAAATTTATTTTCTTCTGACAGGGTTTCCAAGGTAAAACCGGACCTCCCGGACCCCCAGGTGTAGTCGGACCTCAGGTAAGTGGAACACAGAATGCTGAAGTTCAAATTTTCGAAATGACTCTAGAATTACACAATCAACAGTGCCTTTAATAAGATTTCAATAAAATGGGTTAGTAAAATGGGTGAAAAAAGGGTGAATCTCAAGAATAATGTCATAAAATATTTGGCCCAATAAAAAAAAAAAAGATATATATATATATATATAGATATATATATATAAGGAAAATAATAAAGAATATTTGAATATCAAGAAAAAATAAATGAATATTAAGAAAATATTTTTTTTCAAATTTGAATCTCCATTCTCCATTTTTATTCTTAATATTAAAATTCTCCAGATGATTTTAATTACGGTATTAGATTTTTTTTTAAATGTTTTTGTATAATAATAACAAAGGAATGGAAGAAAAGGAACATAGCTGTCATGAAAAATAATAAAGCAATGCACAATAAATCAAGAAAAATAAATAAATAAAAAATAAAATTTTCTTAATGCTAAATATTAAAATTTAAATTTTTGGATGAAATATATTAGAAATGTAGCCTTGAAATTAAATAACTGAAATAACTATGTTAAGCTGAATTATAAAAATGACTAAAACTCAGACGGTGTTGTTATTGTTAACTAAACCTTTTTTCTAATTTTCTGGAATTAAAGTAAAGTTGAAATAAAATAAAATATAAATATTAAATGAAAATTTTACTTGAAAGGAAATAACTGAAATAAATGTTTAAGCTGAATTATTAAAATGTCTAAAATTGAAATAAAAATGACTTAATGACATAACAAAAGCACATAAACACTTAATCGAATTACTAAAACTTGAAAAAAAAATGGAAAACTTGAAATATGAAAATAATAAAATAAAAGGGCTGCATCTACCTTCCGCAGAAGAATAACACATTATAAAGCATTTCGCTTAGAAAACAGCATGCCCCACACACCAATCTGTTTTTCCAGCATGGGTACCACAGGCTGAGGCCAGAGACACGTGCTACATATTCATGAGGCTGTCACCAGCCATCACTCGCTCATTAGATAATCTTAAAGGTGTCCTAAGGTTGTCACTGGGGAATCATAATGACTCCATTAGGTTACATATGGGCCGTTTGTTGGCCTGTCTGTGTTTTGTCTCCTGACATGCTTTTGTTTATGCGGTTAGATGTTGGCGCTGACTGGGTAATGAATTATTCATAAGCAATCATGATATTCTACTTTTTATGCAAATGTTGAGGTGGGCACAGGTTTCAACAATGCCACGCACAAACATATGAATGTTCAAGTACACATGCTCTGCCATGCAAATGGATGCATATAATCTGATTTTTGCATAATTTGCATATCCACTGATCTTTTTTAAACACCTGTAGCATCTTTATTAATGTATGTTTTCCAGGCTTTTTGATCACTTTCTTTGATTATACTGTACAAACACACTTTTGGACTATGAAAGAACTTGGAGTACAACCGTTCTTTGTGTTCCAGATGCATCGATTAAAAATGGACTTTTAAATATGACTTCGTGATAATGAATCATTTGTTTTGCTCTAGATTTAAAATGTTATCGTTTGAGTTAGTCATATTTTGTTGAAATAGCAATGTAAATAAATTAATTGTGCAAACTCTGCAAATTGCTTTGCTGAGGTGAATTAAACTTGATTCTGCAAATCAAATTTGAATTGAATTGATTCACTGACGAATCGTCAATTAAATTAATTCAGTGCCAACCCAAAGATTAATCTACCCCACTACAATATAAATATATAAATATAAATTTTTATATGAAATATTGTATTTAAATATTAAGTACTATATTAAATATTAATGTTAATTTTTATTTTCATTATTATTTACTCTTAAAATAAAATGTGGAAAATTCGTAATAAATAAAGCAAAAAGTCAAATAATAAGTAGTTGTGTCTAAATGTTTGACTAGTGTATAATTGTAAATGAAAAATGATTATAGGTTTATCTTTAATGTTTATTTAACATTTTCTCTCTCTTTTCATGCAGTCTTGACACCAGCATTTTTTAATTTTTAGATTTTACAGATATCTTATATAATATATAAGAAATATAATATACATTCATATTTATTTCTGCATTAAAAACCGTAGCTCATTTTTCATTTCGATTTAAAATGTTATCATTTGAATTAATACTAATTTGTTAAAGTAGCAATAAATAAATAAATCATGTTGAAAACTCTTTTGCTTTAAGGTGAATTTCCAAATCTCTTTTGAATTAATTAATTAGGAATCGTCAATTGAATTGATTCACTGTCGACTAGGGCTGTCAATTTTTTTTTCAAATTTCGAATATTTGTCAAATTTAAAATAAAAATCCACATTCGAATGCAAAAATGTTGCATTCAAATTTTAGGTGTGCGTTAAGGAGGCAGCCTTATCAGTGGCGCACGAGATGCGATGGCGATGTAAGTGTCGTTGCATTATAATGTTTTTGTTAGCCAATCCAGTTGAAGCCACTAGATGTGGCACTGCTGCGTTGTTCAATCAAAATATTGCGGGGAAAGAGAACATCAATGCGGAGAAGATCTTGTTTACATTTACGGCTGAAACCAAGCCGTTCACACAGAACACATATTTTGTGCACTAAAATTAATGCACGTTTAACTTTGAAAAAAATAAACATATATCGAGACTTTATGGCGTTTTTCCCCCCCCATCCAACTGCATCTGATGTTTTTAAATGAGAAATGTACTCTGTGTGATTGGCTTTCCGCCCTTTGTATTAAGCTATGCATACATACATGATGCTGTTTTGTTTATAGTTGTTTAAGCAACTTAATTAATTATAATTGGTTTATAAACATGATTTTAAACATTATGCACTTTTTTCACAGATAGTCATTTTGTCTTATGCTTTGAATAAACGTGCATTAGTAATATTTTGCTCGATGTTCCCTCTTGTGGCCTCAGAAGAGAAGCCAAAATCTTTTCTTCGCCCTAACTGAAAATATGCATTTTAAATTTTGATAATATTTAAGTACAAAATTCGAATTTAGTTTTTCAGCCATTTTGACAGCCCTACAGTCGACCCAAAGATTCATCTACCCCACTACCTTACCCATAATCCATCTCTCTTTCTGTTCAGGGACCAACAGGTGAGACAGGACCAATGGGAGAACGAGGCCACCCTGGACCCCCAGGACCACCCGGTGAACAGGGTCTACCTGGATCTGCTGGAAAAGAGGGAGCAAAGGTGCAAACAAATTCAGGCCATACACATGTCCCCAAATCCAGGTGTGACAAACTTGTTGCATCTTTCCCAAAAAGACTCATGGCTGTATTCGATCAAAAGGGTGCTTCTACTAAATACTGAGCAAAGGGTCTGAATACTTAGGACCATGTGATATTTCAGTTTTTTTTTTTTAATAAATCTGCAAAAATGTCAACAATTCTGTGTTTTTCTGTCAATATGGGGTGCTGTGTGTACATTAATGAGGAAAAAAAATTAACTTAAATGATTTTAGCAAATGGCTGCAATATAAAAAAAAGTGAAAAATTTAAGGGGGTCTGAATACTTTCCGTACCCACTGTATACACAGATCCAAATCCGGTATCTATTTGTCAAAACCGGTTTTCATCATATCTGGTCTTTATAGGGAGATCCAGGTCCTGCAGGACCCTCAGGTAAAGATGGACCTCCAGGACTCAGAGGGTTCCCAGGCGAGAGAGGCTTACCAGGACCTGTGGTGAGTCTCACGAATGAAACATGCCTAACCATAATTATTCAACTTTGTGTAACTCGCCCGTACATTCTGCACAGGCGAGCATCTCTCTTTTCATGCTTTGAGCTTTTTAGTTTGTTGTTCAGTATAAATAGTACATCCCCGTGTCACCTCTACCCATCAAACGTGTCGGGCACATGGATGTGTTTGTGTACGTTCAGCAGTTTTATGTGTCTCTCTGCAGGGATCAGCAGGTTTGAAAGGGAATGAAGGACCTCCAGGGCCACCTGGACCCGCTGTAAGTAGACATGCTCCCTCTATTTGCCTATCTTTTCTCCAACTGCTTTTTTTTTTTTGCTTGTTTACCTTGTTTTCTCTTTCTCCTTTCTCCTTTTGCTCCACACACTGGGTTTTCAGTGAGTACAGTGATTCAGTTTGTATGACATGGATGATTTACAGTGTATATATACAGTACCAGTACAGTACCATACATTAGGACTTACTTGATTGAATTTATTTGTTTTGTATACTATTTAATTCATGTTTTAGAGTGAATAGTGCAGAAAAAGCATCAACATACACTACCATTCAAAAGTTTGAGGTCAGTAAGAAAATAATACTTTTGCAACAATAAGGATCATTTTCAAATAATCATTGCTTTTTAAACTTTCTATTCATAAAATAATTGTTAAAGAAATGTATTACAACAGAAAACTGTTATTTTATTTATTAATATTACTGTTCTTACTGTATTTTGATCAAATAAATAAAGCCTTGGTGAGCAATGTCTTCTTTCAAAAATATTACAAAATCTTACTAACTTTAAACTTCTGATTGGCAGTGTACATGTGAACATCTTTAACAGTGTCTTTAATGAGGTTGGTTGAAAGAAGTTGCTCAAATATTAATATTTATATTAAATATTGTATTTAAATATGAAATACTATATTACATTTTTTTATATGTAATCATAAAGATATTTTCATATTTACTATTAAAATAAAACTGTAATTAAAAAAGTCAAATAATAAGTAGTTGTGTCCAAATGTTTGACATGCACATTTATAAATGATAGATGATTAAGTATGATCAAATCTATTCCTCTTTTCTCTCTCTTTTCATGCAGACTTGACACCAGGATTGTGAATATTCAGATTTACTGATATCTTATATAATGTCGCAATATGCATAGTTACATAATCAATATCTTGAAAACAGCATTCATATCATATATGCACACAATCATATATGCATGCCAGCTGTCAACACCTGATGATTTTTTTTCAAGAACAAATGCATAATTAATCAAACAGATCATCAAGTGTTCAGTAGCAAATGGAAGTTGTTGCAAGTAAATCAGTTATGGAATTTCATATTCACATATTCATAGGGCTCTCCTGGTGAACGTGGTGCTGCTGGCCCAGCTGGACCTACTGGCCTCCCAGGCCGACCCGGACCTCAAGGACCCCCGGGCCCAGCTGGAGAGAAAGGTGGACCTGTGAGTACTTCCTCAAACATGCTCCATCTTCATTTCTGAGCCCTGCTTAGCTCCATATGATTAAATATACAACTATAACCTCTCATATTAGGGCGAGAAAGGACCTCAAGGCCCAGCCGGTAGAGATGGTATTCAGGGACCTGTGGGACTTCCAGGCCCAGCTGGACCCATCGGATCCCCAGGAGAGGATGGTGATAAGGTACAGAAGAAAAAGAAGTGGTAGAAGAAGGTTTGAGAAGTGAAATTAATGAATTAAGGACAGAGACGTGACATGTAATTGATGATCATGGTTGAATCTGGTGGGTTTGCAAGATGATTAGATCAGGATGAAGAGAAGTGAAGGTCACATCACACACACACACACACACACACACATAGATCAAACCGCTCAGCTGTCTGATCAATATTTTCTCTAGAGGAATGGATGGATGGTTCGATATTTGCTCAGTGCATGGCCAAATTTGATTAGATCAGGATGAAGAGAAGTGAAGGTCACATCACACACACACACACACACACACACACACATAGATCAAACCGCTCAGCTGTCTGATCAATATTTTCTCTAGAGGAATGGATGGATGGTTCGATATTTGCTCAGTGCATGGCCAAATAAAAAAAAATTAAATGAAGCTTTGATAATACAGTATACATTAATGAAGTCAAGGCTGCATTTACAGTATGTGCTCAAAAATACAGTAAAATCAGTAATATTGTGAGATATTATTACAATTTAAAATAAATGCTTTCTAATTGAATACATTGTAAACTGTAATTTATTCTTGTGATGTAAAGTTGAATTTTCAGCATCATTACTCCAGTCTTCAGTGTCACATGATCCTTCAGAAATCATTCTGAACTTCATTAATAGAGTATCAAACCGGTGGAACAGCAACATAGCAATGTCACATTCGAATGAGAAATATGTGTGATGATACTGAAATATAAGTTATATTACAGCGCAGGGAATCAAATATGCAGTTTGCCTTATTGGAAATGATCTAATTTAACACTTAGGTGAACGTGTCAGGGAAATGGCATCACCGTGACACACTCACATACACCTACACACACCGATCTGAGGTGTGTGTGACACCAACATGTGTTAGCATTGGCAGTTTTAAGGTGTGAGCGATATTTGAAGGATATGTGTGTCAGCTCTGCCATGTGTGACAGGTGCAAAGCCTTCTGGGAAATATAGTCATAGGAATAAATAGCGATGTTAGTTTCCTAATAACTGACTACACCAACAAAAACAGACTAAAAAGTATAGTTTTTGAGTAGAGTGTTATTACTTACCCTGGCAATACCATGTTTTTTAGGCATGTACTATGTTAATACAAGGTTTTTTTCAACATATACAATATCATTGTGTTATTTGATTTTCCTCTGAGTTTCATGTAAATACCATATGAATATGAATACATTACCATTCAAAATGTATATGCTTTTTTTTTGTACGAAATCATTTATACTTTTATTCTGAAAGGATGCATTCAGTTGATCAGAAATGACACTAAGACATTTATAATGTCACAAAAAAATTTGTTTCAAAGAAATTCTGTTCTTCTGAACTTTATATTCCTCAAAGAATCCTGAAAAAAAATCATGATTTCCATAAAATGGAGCAGCACAGCTCTTTTTAACACTGATGATAATAGAAATGTTTTTTGAGTGTCAAATCAGTATATTAGAATGATTTCTGAAGGATCATGTGACACTGAAGACTGGAGTAATGATGCTGAAAATTCAGCTTTGTATCACAGGAATAAATTACATTTGAAAATATATTCAAATAGAAAACAGTTATTTGAAATTGTAATATTTCCACAATTTAATTGTTTTTATTGTATTTTTTATCAAATAAATGCAGCCTTGGTAAACAGCAGATTTTTTCCCCCCCAGAAACTCTTGAGAAACAGATACTGCATTTGTATTATTGTGTCATGTGACCGTTTTAGATATTATTTTAGATATTACATATTTGCATATGTAAATGCTGTGTTATTGTGACAGGGTGAGATTGGAGAGTCGGGACAGAAGGGAAGCAAAGGTGACAAGGGCGAGCAGGTGAGTCACTCTGAATTTACTCTTTACATTTCCATTACAGTTCAGTCCAAAGACATTATATATTCAATGTGTCGTTCTCCCATGGCAGTCATTTGTTCTGTTATTACCACTGCACGGGTATGAATATAGATGTTGTCTTTGTTGTGAAAATCAATGAGTTGTGCTTGCTTGCTTTTTTCTTTCTTCTCATTAATTTTTTTTCTCCTTATTTCTGCCGTTCTTCAGGGTCCTCCAGGTCCCGTCGGTAGCCAAGGTCCTTCGGGTCAGCCGGGTCCACCGGTAAGTATACTGAAATCAGCTATATCTCATATGGTGTGTGGTGTAAGGGGAAGCAAAGGTGACAAGGGCGAGCAGGTGAGTCACTCTGAATTTACTCTTTACATTTCCATTACAGTTCAGTCCAAAGACATTATATATTCAATGTGTCGTTCTCCCATGGCAGTCATTTGTTCTGTTAATACCACTGCACGGGTATGAATATAGATGTTGTCTTTGTTGTGAAAATCAATGAGTTGTGCTTGCTTGCTTTTTTCTTTCTTCTCATTAATTTTTTTCTCCTTATTTCTGCCGTTCTTCAGGGTCCTCCAGGTCCCGTCGGTAGCCAAGGTCCTTCGGGTCAGCCGGGTCCACCGGTAAGTATACTGAAATCAGCCATATCTCATATGGTGTGTGGTGTAAGTGGTGTAAGTGGTGTTAGTGATGTCACTTCCTCCCTGCAGGGTGCTGATGGAGAGCCAGGTCCCAGAGGTCAGCAGGGTCTGTTTGGACAGAAGGGAGATGAGGGCGCACGAGGTTTCCCAGGACCACCCGGACCCGTCGGCCTTCAGGTTAGAACTTCAAAGTTTGGTTTCTACGTGTTTAAAACACTATTATTTTAGTATCTTTGATGTACCATCATAGTTTTTATTCATTTTTATTAATTCATTTTATTTATTAATTAAATTGATTTATTGATTTTATCCTAATATTTACCACTCATATTTTTATTAATTTTAAATTTTAATGTTTTAGTCATTCAGCTGTTTTTATCATTTTTATACATTTTTTAATGTCTATATAGTTTTTATTATTTTTTATTTGTTTTTGTTTGTTACTTTAGTACTAAACAAAAATGTGACATTTTTAGTATTTTTGATGTACTATTATAGATTTGATTAATAATTTCATTTAGATTTTATCGTTATTTTTACCTTTTATTTTAATTAAAGTTTAAGTAATATTTTGTTTTTTTTGGTCATTTTTATTAGTTTTTTTATATATCTATATAGTTTTTATTATTTTTTTCTTTCAGTTTTAGTTTGAGATATTTTAGTACTTCAAGTTAAACTAATGTTGCCTTGACAACTAGCTGATAAAAAAATAAGTTTAAGGCTTTTTTATATTTGTTTTTCAGTTAACAGTTTTAAATTGTTTTATTTTGGTGACTAGATATTTTTTGTAAATTTTTATTTCAGTTTTAATTTTAGTTATTTTAGTACGTCAATTTAAACTAGAGGGATCAGCAAAATAAGAAATATTGCCGTGCCAACTAGTTGAAATATATATATATATATATATATATATATATATTTTAAAGGATTTTTAAAGTTTTATTTTATTTTATTTCAGTTAACGTTTATTTTATTTTAAGTAACAAAAATTATTTTATAGACTGGAGTAATGATTCTAAAAATTCAGGTTTGCATCACAGGAATAAATTACATTTTTAAATAGCAAACAATTGTAGTAATATTGCACAATTTTACTGTTTTTACTGTATTTTTGATCAAATAAATGCAGCCATTTTAAGCATAAAAGACTTTCAAAAGTATTATAAAGTCTTACTGACCCTAAACTTGCGAATGGTATTGTATGTGAATATGATAATCATTAAGTACCATGATATCACCATCTGAAACAATTATAGCACCGCAGTCCATAATATAATACATTTTTCAATTCATCAACAAATTTGTTCCAGGTGGATAAAACCAAGTCTTGCCTTGGAAGTATAATAGATTGTGGAAGTAAAATGGACTGCAAATGGCATTTAATGTGGACTGTAAATGTTGTTTATGTAGTTCGGACAGGATTTGACTGATTAATATGAGTTGCAGTTGGTTTTAACTGGTTGTGTTTGTGTGCAGGGCTTGCCTGGACCCTCCGGTGAGAAGGGAGAGACCGGTGACGTCGGTCAGATGGTACAGTTCTACATCTATACAGTCAGTTTGGTAAAAATCAAAATGTACTTAAATAGAAACTGAGTTTTCTTTCTGTATTTTCTTGACTTTTCTCTCAGGGTCCACCCGGTCCTCCTGGCCCCAGAGGCCCCTCCGGACCCCCAGGAGCCGATGGACCACAGGGACCTCCAGGAGGAATCGGCAACCCAGGAGCCGTGGGAGAAAAGGTGATCCGCATCAGCGTCATGAACAAAACGCTATCATTTCAATTTAATTAGAAACCGATGAAGTCCTTATTGATCTGAGGGAGAATGCGCCAGTAATGATCCCAGTGTGTGTGTGTGTGTGTGTGTGTGTGTGTGTGTGCGCTCAGTCAGTTCAGGATCTGTGTCTCTGTGAGGTTTTCCTGTAGCTTCTCTCTAGAGTTAAAGCTGTGTATGTGTTTATCTGTGTGTCTGTGAGTGTTTTTGTAAGTTAAATATTTCTCAGGTTAATGTGTAAACTGTAAGTAAGCCAATCATAGATTAATATCCTCAAAAAGTGTAACACGGTATCTCTGATGCTTTGGTTTGAGCGTCATGACCAGCAAATTTGCATCAGTAAATTTGTTCATTCTAATTAGAGTGATATAATAATAATTATTATTACCGTATTGAACACATTTTGTCTTCAATTATTTTCATATTGCATATTTTTCCTATTTTAATTTTTGTTTTGAAAGTATGGTAAAAACTGGTAAAATGTACCAAAATCACATTTAAAAAATACACACTTTTTGATATACCATAAAATAAACGGGTAGCCCATCTGAATTAGGACATTTAGGCTATCCATCTAATAGTAGCCTACCAAAATCTTATTAACAGTAGAAGTTAAATCTTACTTTAGTCTTCAAATCTGGGTACTGTCTTACGTTTTAAAATCACAAAGTGAGATGGTCCCATCAGGCTAACCTGACAGTCACGACTCATGCAGCTGTAAGCTTTTCTTTTTCTTTTTTTTTACTCGCGATCTTTACAACACGCATTACATTACGTATTTCATGGCACACTCATTGTATGCGTATTTGGCGCCACCTATTGTTGTGGGTGTATTATTGACATGTCAAAGTCTAGACCCTGAATATAAGACGACCGCGTTTTTCCAAGAAAAAAACATCGTCTTATATTCGGGTCAATACGGTATTAATAATTTTTTAATTAGTGACTATACAACAAGTAAATCAACAAGTATCAATAGCTTTGTTAATTCTGATTAATTTATTAATGATATTAATAATACATTTATATATCTAGTAAGTAATAATTATTTGTAAGTAGTAATTATACAAGTAAATGTATTGATAACTTGAATTCTAATTAGAGTGATTTAATAATAATAATAATTTTAATAATTATCATCACTGAAAATACATTACTGAAATACAAAAATTATGGTGTTTTTCTGACAACAAATAAGTTATCCCACTGTCATAAAGAATACACATTTTTAACAAATTAATGCAAAATGCTGTTAAGAAATATTTATGGCCTGTGAGTTTTCCAATTTGTTCGCCATTAGCAGAACCCTGCCTGTGTGACGAGAGATTGTATTCTCCATTAAAGAATGAAACATGCTTTACTTGCTTGGAAAAGGTAAGGTATTATGGTATAAATTCAAAAGTAGCACATTGCTTTACTTTACAAAAGAGCATTCAGTTTTGCGCTATGCTTTATTTTCAGTGCAGTGATCTTGAGGTTTTATTCTGAGTTCTGGTTGTGTGTGTGTGTGTGTTTATGGAGTGTGACAGTGAGCTGAGAGTGTCTGTATCTTTGTGTACTGTATGTCTCAGCAGAGCGAACAGGTCGTGTGTTCGCATGACTGCACTCCATCACCTCAGCACCGGCCACTGTCAATATTAATACAGCACTTCAGCACTATTGTTCTCCCACCAAACCAAGGACCCATTTCAGTTCTGCTTAGAGAGGAGTTTCGCCCAGAGAAATGACCCAGAAAAACACAGACGAGGGGAGGATTTAAAACAGATAAAGATGATAGAATGAGACCTGGAGACAAGGCTGTTTGCTGTTAGTCTGGAAGATTTACCTCTGCACTTCCCTCTGACAGACCTCTCATCCCACTACAGAGAGAAAGAGAGAGATACCTCAGTCTGACACACACACACACACACACACACACACACACACACGAACGAATGATACAGTTCAGAGCGTCTGAGAGACTCTTAATCCCTCAGTATGGCGGACGTGCAGAAGTATCCACACACACACACACACAACGAACGATATTGAATGTTTAATGTCACAAACTGACTGATTTAATAGTGTTTTATTAGTGGTTTGCTAAGGCAAGCAGCACTGTTATTCCTTTTTGAATCGGTATCTGTTCATATTGGGATATTTAATTAATTACTATAAACTAAGGTTAGTTTTACCTTTAGATTACCTTTGCCATCACAAAGTTATTCTTTGAAAGCACTAATAATTTAATAACACTGTAAAAAGCATGAATAATTTAATAACACTATAATTTATTAACAAATCTCAAAGTCTAAAATACATTAATAGCATAAAACAATTGTTTTGTTTGTATTTACTTTTATTTAGATAAAATTATATTGAATTTTAATTATGGTTATTTATTTATTTAGGTGTTTCTTTTTTATTGTTTCTGTTTTAATTCAGACAAAATAGTAGAGAATTTAAATTTCAGCCTTTTATGTATTTATTTAATTATTTATTTGTTTAGACTAAATAGTACATAATACATTTTTTTCTTATTTATTTTCAACCATTTATTTTTTATTTTTAGACAAAATATAATAGGATTTTAATTTCAGCCAGTTATTGGTTATCAGTCATTACATGAAAATGATTAACATCAAGCAAAATAGAACAATAAAATAAAATGTTTTATTTATCTTTATTTAGACAAATTAATATAGACTTTTAAGTTTAGCCATTTATTTACATGGTTCTTTATTTGCATTATTCATTATTATTATTTTTAGACAAAATAGTATAATTAATAATAATTTAAGTTTGGCCATTTGTTTAATAATCTAATTTATGATGTAATAATTTATTTTCATTTTTAATTGTTTTTGTTTTTGTTTTGTTTATTTATTTTGACTATTTGTTTAATTTTGGCCATTTATTTAATCATTTAATTTATTATTTAGTAATTCAAATTTTTTTTTTATTATTTACACTAAATAGTATAGAATTTTAATTTCAGTCATTTATTGGCTATCAGTCATAATATAATTTGTGTAAAAAAAAATCTCATTGATGTACATTGCAAGAGGGACCCAAGTCATATATAGAGACCAGGATATTATAGAAACTTGTGGATGGGCTCTTTTGACTGGAGCCAGTAATTTTAAACAGCCACTCACAACTCTCTAGCATAACGACAGTTAGTTTGGCAGGACCATCACTCACTTCAGAAAACCTCAAAGTCTAGTTCATTTTTCAAAGTGTCATTGCTCCAATTCAGAGGTGTCTGGATACATACAGTATAATGATTTCCATTCTCATCTGATGTCTGATGGAACTGGTCATCATCAAGGTCGTTTGTTTGTCTGAATATCGATGTTGCGCAGATTTTTATGCTAGAAAGTGTTGTTCTGCAGAGGAAAGCAGATTTGCTGACAAGACAGTGAATAATGATGCTGACGTGCTCTTCTGTCCAGTGGACAAAATCTCTGCAGTGTTGAGGAGAAAAAAAGAGCCCTGCCGTGCTTTACTTACATCTCTCTGTTTTTCTCTAGGGAGACGCCGGTGAACTAGGAGAACCAGGTCCGCAAGGAGACATCGGCCCTTCAGTACGGCAAAAAAACCCAAACTTGCATATGCAAAACTCTAAAACTTCACTGCTGAAAGTCTCAGAACAACACACACACATCTCATATCTCGTGTGTGTGTGTTTTAGGGTCCAAGAGGAGAGCGTGGTGAAAAGGGAGAAGCCGGACCCGCTGGTTCTGCTGGGCCCCCCGGACCAAAAGGACCACCAGGAGATGATGGTCCCAAAGGAAGTCCTGTATGTTCTTATCATTAATGCTTTATTTGGTGTCGGAAAAATACACTGTTAAAAATAAAGCTTCCAAAAGGAGGTTTTTGCAGCAATGCAATAGAAGAACCATATTTAACCTTTCATTTACCTTTGCCGTCATCTAATGCTCACTCAAAGTTAATCTTTAAAGACATTAATCATTTAACAACACTATTAAATGTAGTCTTTAGCAAACCTCAAAGGTAATATTTCATACTATACCAGTATGAAGCGTAAATTCACTTAGTTGTTTTATGTATTTATTTAGCTATTTTTAATTAGACAAAATAATACAGAATTTATATTTTGGACAAAACATTTTTAATTTTGGACATTTATGTATGCAAAATAGTATATAATTTGCTATATGAACAGAGGTGCCCAAACCTTTTTAATATTGTAATGTATCTTATTTCTCTATCCTCTTTTTTTAACCATTTGAATACATTTTTTATCATTTTTATTCTTTGCTTTTATTGTTTTTCTTATGCATGTTATTTTTATTTCTTATGCATCTGTTGTGATTTTGCTATTATTATTATTAATCCTTTGAATTTAAGTTTGAATTACCATTATGTATGAAATGTGCTATATAAATAAATTTGCCTTGCCTAATATGAAGGGCCAAAAATCAATCTTGATTGAGGGCTGTGGGCCAAAACTATATCTAGCTATATTATATATAGTTTTTTTAAATCAAATTCAAATGATTGTTTTTTACATTTCAGTACAAGAAAACAAAAATACAAATAAGAAATTAAGACATGCTTCAATGTTTTGTAAAAATGTTATTTTTAAGAGTGTATTGTAGGTTCTGCCTGCTAATACCATACTCTTTATGCTTAGGAGACCATGCAGTTACCATGTTTTTGATCAACTACAGAAATGCTCAAATGTTTTGGTTTGATTTTCAGGGTCCAAGTGGTTTCCCTGGTGATCCTGGTCCTCCTGGAGAGCCTGGTTCACCTGTAAGTGTTATTAATGTGTAAATGTAGTTATTGCAAATATATTTTCAGGTTGTTTAAGGAAGCAACATTCTTTTTTCTTGCTCTACAGGGTTTGGATGGTGCTTCTGGAGATAAGGGTGATGATGGAGAGCCTGGTCAGGCAGTGAGTAGGATTTAAACACAACCATTTGTCATCTCTGGTGTCGGCTGCATGCATGTGTGTGTTTTATAATGTTTGCTGCTTTTATAATGTTGCTTATTTGTTTCTTTCAGGGATCCCCTGGACCTACTGGTGAAACTGGCCCCACTGGCCCTCCAGGAAAGAGAGTGAGCAATGCTTATATCATTTGCATAAAAAAAAATTATATTTAGCAGCCAAAAATATTTCTGACTAGCTATTAATATTAATAGGATTAAACTAAAAATACCTATATATGGCTCTCAATTTTCATTCATTCTTATCAGGGACCTCATGGACCTGCTGGACCTGAAGGAAGACAGGGAGAGAAGGGTGCCAAGGTAACATGCAGACGTTCACACAATCATGCACTGGAGCACTATTACAGTCACAAATACATTACAGCAATGGTTTCAATGGTTTTGTGTGTCTCTGAATCAGGGTGAATCTGGTCTCCTGGGTCCACCTGGTAAGACAGGTCCAGTTGGTCCTCAGGGAAGCCCTGGAAAACCTGGTTCCGAGGGTCTGAGAGGGGTGCCTGGACCAGTGGTGAGTGATACTGGACTAGCCTGACAGCCATACACAGCTCATTAGGTCCTAATGTCAGAGTTTAAGCTAAGTGTATTGAATCTCACAAAGCCTTGTAAATAATATACCTGGGTCATAGTTCACTACAAAATCAAAACAAATTCAAAATCTCTCTCTCTCTATATATGTATATATTTAGGGCATAAAAAATTTGGAGCTGTAAATTTAAGATTTTTATTTTAGGATTATGAAACATTAAAAAAAAACGTTCTCCTTTCTACAATGCGACAAAAAATTACATATTATTTAAATTACTATTAGTAATTGACTATTTAGTATATACTATTTAGTAATTATGTAGTAAATGTAATTACTGTTTTAAATAATTACTATTAATATTTGTATTATTATTATATCATATATCTATATACACATATACACATGCAAGTTAAGAAATTGGACCTGTAGATTTAAGATTATAGAAGTTTTAAGATGAAAATAAAAAACAAAATGAATTTCTGCAATGCAAACATTTTATATTTAAATTGTGTAGTATTAATGATTTAAACCTAATTAAAAAAATACCATTGATATTTATGATCCAAAATGTCTTTATCATGCCAAAAAAATTATAATATACGATATATATCAAATAAATATATATACTTTACCATTTATATTATATAAATTGTAAAGTATATATACATCCTAGTATTTTTTAAATTTTATTATTGCTGATTTAAAAAATAAAAAAAAGCCATTGCCTGGACAAATATTGTCACATTGCAAAAATCTATATTTATATCATTCGTAATAATATAAAAATAACATTTAATATTTTTTCATTTACTTGAAATAGAGTAAGAATCCCTCTTTCAACCACAAGAATATAACACCAGTCCTCATATGCAGTTCTGTCTAAGGCAGTGATATTGTGTTAATAAATGGATCTGTTTGGTCCTGATGTAGGGAGAACAAGGACTGCCCGGTGCTCCTGGACCCGATGGACCTCCTGGACCGATGGTACCGACGTGATATTCCTCTGAGAATGAGTTCATTATAATCTTAAATGACAATCTACAGTCCTCGCTATTCTTATATGTCTCTCTTTCAGGGTCCTCCTGGACTGCCTGGACTGAAGGGAGATACTGGTATTAAAGGTGAAAAGGTGAGAGAAGCAAATTCATCTTTGATACTCTTAATTAATTGCACTATGATGCAGTCCAGGTAGGTGACTAACTAGTGTTTGCAACACAGCTGTAGTAATGACTTTACATGTCCAGTACATTAATTGAACTCTGGCTGGCATTACTGATTATGAAGGAGTGTGTTCATTACTGATGAGTTTAATAATCAAGCGGCTTGTTTCAGGGTCATCCTGGTCTCATTGGACTCATCGGACCTCCAGGAGAACAGGGAGAGAAGGGAGACAGAGGGCTGCCGGGTTCACAGGGAACTGCAGGAACTAAAGGAGACACTGTATGGAACATGTTCACATACATACAGCAATAAAAACTAGTATAAACGTGCTAAATTTAATGTATTTTCATAAAGCAGTCTTCAATATTTAAGTATTTCTCTACAGGGTATTTACGGACCCGCTGGACCTATTGGACCCATTGGACCTCCTGGTCTCCATTTCCAAGCATGTTAATGACTGTTTTAAACAAAGCATCAGTAAAAACAACAACAGCGATAGACAGAAGGTAACCATGATGCTAATGAAAAAATAAAATAAACAGAAAATGTGAAGCCCTAGCAACCATCCACAACACCCTAGTTACAGCCTATCAAATAATTAGAACACCTTAGTAACCAAACCACATCCTAGAAACCACTCAAACAATGTGGTGACGCATTTCGCACGGCCAAGCACTACTCATGTTTTGCAACAATTACTAGCGGCCTAGCAACCACCTAGAACATCCAAGAAGCTGTTAAGAACACAATTTAGCAACTGCCTAACAATAGCCAAGTAACCGTCCAAACATTTAGGTGGCGAGTTTTGCAGTTTACAGTAGTAATGGCCTGGCAACCACTTTGCAACACTCTAACTATCCAACATTCTCGCAACATCCAAAGTCATGATGCTAATAAAAAAAAAAATAGAAATACAGATTTAACATAAAATTAAATACATTTAAAAATATATATTTAATTAAAATTACGGAAACTTTCCAAAAATTACAAATTCCTGTAACATTTCCTAAAATTCTGGAATGGTTCCCAAAACTGTACCATATTTTTAATTAAAAATTGTCTTCATAATTCAAAATTATCTTCATTTGGTTAAAATTTCCAACAATTTATTGTTGGAACATCCTAGCAACACTATAAATCACCCTAATAGCCACTCAAAACATCTTAGCAACTGCCTAACAACCACCCAAAACATCCTATCAACATCTTAGCAACCACCTAAAAATCTCCAACAGCCACTCAGAACAGAATTCAATTCGAACACCTTAGCAACTGCTTATCAACACTATATTAACCCTAGTGGGTTACACTCACATTTTCCAACTACAGTAACAGACAAGCAACTGCCTAACAACCACCTAAAACATCCTTTCAACACCCTAGCAACCACCTAAAAAACCCCAAGAGTCACTGCCTAACAACATCCTAACAACCACCCAAAACATCCTTTCAATACCCTAGCAACCACCTAAAAAAAACAACAGTCACTGCTTAACAACACCCTAGTAACCAACCACCCTAACATTGTAGTAACAAGGTTTGCATGGCTAACCTACACTCGCATTTTACAATGATTTATTAACAGTCTAGAAACCTCTTTGCAACACCTTAGAAACCACCCAGGAAACCCTAGCAGTCATTGAGAACACTTTACAACACCCTATTAACCACCCAAACATTGTTGTAACGAAGTTTGCATGGGCCAAGCTACACTCACATTTTCTAATTATTTTGTAACAGCCTAGAAACCTCCTTACAACACCTTAGCAACCACCCAAAAAACCCTATAGTCACTCAGAACAACACCCAAACATTTTGATGGTGAATTTTGCATGAGTAAGCAGCACTAGCCTGTGCTCTAAATAATGCATGTTATGTGAATATTAACGGTTATCCTCTCGTCTAGGGTCCACCTGGTGATGTCATCCACCCTCTGCCTATCCATTCCAGCCCCAAACGGGCAAAGAGGAACATTGATGCCAGCCAGATGATGGATGACGCTGCAGATGCCAACTACAAAGACTATGAGGATGGCATGGAGGAGATATTCGGCTCTCTGAACTCTCTCAAACTGGAGATTGAACAGATGAAACACCCGCTGGGCACACAGAGTAACCCCGCCCGCACCTGCAAAGACCTGCAGCTGTGCCACCCAGATTTCCCAGATGGTGTGTATCACACACACGCTACACACGCACGCATGTGCACACACATTTCCAAGCATGTTAATGACTGTTTTAAACAAAGCATCAGTAAAAACAACAACAGCGATAGACAGAAGGTAACCATGATGCTAATGAAAAAATTAAATAAACAGAAAATGTGAAGCCCTAGCAACCATCCACAACACCCTAGTTACAGCCTATCAAATAATTAGAACACCTTAGTAACCAAACCACATCCTAGAAACCACTCAAACAATGTGGTGACACATTTCGCACGGCCAAGCACTACTCATGTTTTGCAACAATTACTAGCGGGCTAGCAACCACCTAGAACATCCAAGAAGCTGTTAAGAACACAATTTAGCAACTGCCTAACAATAGCCAAGTAACCGTCCAAACATTTAGGTGGCGAGTTTTGCAGTTTACAGTAGTAATGGCCTGGCAACCACTTTGCAACACTCTAACTATCCAACATTCTCGCAACATCCAAAGTCATGATGCTAATAAAAAAAAAATAGAAATACAGATTTAACATAAAATTAAATACATTTAAAAATTACGGAAACTTTCCAAAAATTACAAATTCCTGTAACATTTCCTAAAATTCTGGAATGGTTCCCAAAACTGTACCATATTTTTTCTGCCTCTTTAATTAAAAATTGTCTTCATAATTCAAAATTATCTTCATTTGGGGGCGTTTTAATTGCATGTATTGTGACATATACAATTAATTACGATTAACTGGCATATCAAGTGCCAAATCACAAGAATAAAACCACCCGATTCTCAGCTCTGTATTAAATGAATCCCGTGTGAAAATATTAACATAATACATAAAGCTTATGATGGCCCTTGTTTCTCTGTTTTCAGGTGAATACTGGATTGATCCGAACCAGGGCTGCTCCAGAGACTCTTTCAAAGTGTACTGTAACTTCACAGCAGGTGGAGAGAGCTGCATCTTCCCAGAGAAAAAGAGTGAAGGGGTAAGACGTGTTCTCCTGACAGCCACAAAGCAAAACACTTTGGGACGGCTTCCCTTCCCATAAGTCCAGATCTAGGGTAAAACCGTTTTCATCTCTGAATCACAAAGCACTACAACAATTTAAAAAACATCACATATCAAAATGAAGACAAACACACGCTAGATTCAACTCACAGTTAGTAGTCCATGGATTCCTGAAAAACCTCCAGAGAGAAACTGTTCAGCTTAACATGCAGAGAGGAATAGCGGTACAATCTGTTCAATATGTCACACTGTCTTAAGGTCACATCTGATTTAGAGTTTTTTTCCCATTGAAAATCTATGGAAAGACATAGCATGCACATCAGAATGAGATATTGAATGACCTGTACTTTTTTCCTACAACCCGAATAAGGTCTGTACCAGCTATTCAACTCAAAACTGTTCAAAACTAGTCAGAAGTATCATTCTTGAATATAATGAGGGTTCTTGTATCATAATCATTAATGATGTTTGTGTATTAGATTCTGCACACAAGTGTGATGAGTTATTTGCCTTAATGAGTCTCAGAAGCGTCACTGACGGAAAATCACTCAGTGGGGTGTGAAGGTGACTCTCAGCACTAACTTCAGTTCTTCCACAGGTTCACTCTTCATACCAGCAGATGCAGACAACAGCAAACAACAACCTCCTCAGGCTTATTCTCACCTTACACAAATATTTACCAGGGCAACCCTTGCATGCCGACAGGCTTCTTCACACCAGAAGCAAAAATTCCCTCAAAAATGATTGTTGTTGGTCATATTGGAGTTTTAGGGTTTTTGTTGATTTAGGATGAGAGCAAAACCTGTATCATAAAATTTGTGTTTTGCATTTGCATTAAATTCTGTGAACACTATTGGACCCTTCATCCTGCAAAAAAAGTATTCCCTCAAAAATGATTGTTTTTGGTCATATTGGAGTTTTAGGGTTTTTGTTGTTTTAGGATGAGAGCAAATCCTTTGAAAAAAAAATTTGTGTTTTGCATTTGCATTAAATTCTGTGAACACTATTGGACCCTTCATCCTGCAAAAAAAGTATTTTAAATTATTATTATTATTATTTAGGTTTGTAAGTGACATTTTTGTAGTTTACTGAGCAAAATAAATATTATAAAATATAATTTTTTTTAAAGGATTTTTTTAGGTTTTAAGTCAATTTTAGTGTTTTGATTATATTCAAATTATATTATTATTATTTAGGATTTTTAAAAACACTTTTTAGGTTTTAAGTCAATTTTAGTGTTTAGTGTTTGCTCAGCAAAAATATAATTATTCTATATTAATATATATATAATATAATTATAATTGGATTATAGTTGTGTATGAAAGCTCGGTTTCGTACAGGATTGTATTTTGTTAATTGTAGGGCTGTAGGTTTAATCCTGCAAACTGTCTGCAGGATCATGTCTTATGTTAAAGCCTCTGCCTTCAGCAGATTGACAACTACACTGCAAAACAGATCAAAATAATTCCCATAGGCTACCTGTTTCTTCCTGTCTGTCTGCAGTATTGACTCTAGCTGACTCTCTCTCTCTCAGGCCAGACTCACCTCTTGGGTGAAGGAGAATCCAGGGTCGTGGTTCAGTGAATTCAAACGTGGTAAACTGGTAAGAGTGACTCCTCTTTCTTGTCCTCCTGAAATAGTCTCCTATTTTACAGAGCAAAATGGCTCGCTGGCCCAAAGACAGTCCAGGCACTTGGTATAGTCGCTACAAGAGAGGGTCCATGGTAAGTAGGAATGCATGAGTGAACGGGCCCGGCACCATCGGTCTCTTGACGGCCCGTGCTTCTGCATGCTTTTCGGATCCCTTCGTGGCTGAGCATGGTCATCATCAGAACAGCAGCAAAAAGTGTGTTTGCTCAGACTTATGGGTAATCTGAGGTCTGTGGGCGGAGACGTCAGTCAGTCGGTTTCCATAGCAAAAAAAGACTCAAAAAATGACTGACATAAACCCTGACTTATCCTAGAATTTGTAGATTTGTTCATGTGAAAGGCCTGACTGATGGAATCCAGCCCCATCTTCTGTGAGAAAATCACCTTGAAGTGACTGAGTCTGTTAACACATGATTGTCGTTCTGCTCCAAATGCTAGTGAGATGCTCACCTACAGGTAAATAACATTCATGGACAAGCAAAGGCTGTATCAAACAGCTTCCTGATACCTTGTTATAGAATTGCATGCATCCTTGGCAGAGAAGACGATTGGATTGTGATGAGCTTAGTGAAAATCTGTGGATAGATATGAGGGATTTCAGTAGGTAGTTCAGTCTTAAAAACACTATTTAGCGTAATGCATGTAGAGTATCAAGTCATTAACTTAGGAACATGCTGTATTGGAATCAACTGTAGGCATTAGACAAGCGAGTAATGTATTTTCAATAGAAAAAAGTAAAAATGCAGCATTTAATTAACATTAACATTTAAATTGGAATAAGTTTCCATATACAGCATAAATCATAAGATTTAACAAGACAATAAAAATAATTTTATGGTAAAAATAATGTGAAAACTTTGGAAATTAACATAATATATTGTGCAAATCTATGTTGTATTTAACATAACACTACTTAACCATAAAATATTGTTCAAATAATTTTTTCAGATGTAAACTTGACTACAAGAAGTCCTTGCGTCACACTTCACTAAGATTATTTTGATTATATTTAAATTGCTGCCAGTGAAGAACGTTTCAATCAACCACTATATGGCAGTGTTATTTTGGCATCATTGATAAACTATTATAGTGTTTGTTAATATTAAAAATAGTTTTTTTTTCACATTAATTTTAAAGTTTTAGTAATTTTGTTGTTTATTGATTTTTTAACATGTCTACATAGCTTGTATTCGTTTGTATTGATTAATTTGAGTAATTTATTTATTTCAAGTAACAAAAGTGTTTTTATGGTTTTCATTTGAGTTACATTTTGTTAACTATAATAACCCTGCTATGGGATTCTGTTTCACATAAGTTGCTGTCTTAGAAAGTAGACAGAGACGTTCACTAGTGTTTGGAACGGAGCCATTGTGTCCGTGGTGGGTCTCAGTCACTGAGCTTCTGGGTTCAGTCTCTCTTGACATTCAGCTGTGATCATGAGGTAATGTGGTCATGGGCATGTGTTCATGGTGGGTTGCATGCATGCATGCAAAGTCAATGCGTATGAGTGTGTGAGAGGACCTCCTAATCGTAAGTATATAATGATGCGTGTGTGTGTGTGTGCATGGAGCATGCGCTCGCTCTCTCAGTCAGTCACATATGTGTGTGTTTGTGGATCAGAGGAGATGGAGTTTTCTTCTAAACATGGGTTGGTATATTCAAGAATGAAAACAAAACATTTGCATATTTCCGTAATGCAAATGTTGCATCACACCACAAGGGGAGAATTTGCATATAAACCAGTACAACTCATTTGAATATATTAGTGATTTTTTTTCAGTGGAGTCTGTAACAAAATGAGTTTATCTTGCATGTTTGAATGTGTAAATGAATTTTGGTGTTTGATACATGCAGAGCAGAACTGAACTGGGAAAAGAGTTTTGTGCTCTTGCCTGACTGACGAAACGAGTGTTTAGAGACAAAGTTTTAACCATAAGCGTTAATCTGCTTTTAGCAGGAATGCATCGGATTGATCGGAAGTAACAGTACAAAGATTTATATTTCAAATAAATACTGTTTTTTTTACCTAATATTCATTAAAGAATCCCAAAGCAGCACAACTGTTTTTAACATTGATAATAATGTTTCTTGAGCACCAAATCAGCATATTAAAATCATTTCTGAAGGATCATGTGACACTGAAGACTGGAGTTATTTGGTATTGTAATAATATTTCACAATATTACTGTTGACCAGATAAATGCAGCCTTGATGACCCCAAACTTTTGAACAAAAGTGTATTTACATAATTGTTATACTTAAGTATTTATTAAAAAAGATTGACAATGGTTTCACTGTAAAAACAAGTTTGCCATTTCTTTTTAAACATTAATTTACTTAAGACGCAATAAAATATATTAGGTGTTTTCGGGGAATATATCTTATCTTACCACTTTGGTAACTGTTATTATTATTATTAAGAACTTTTATTTTTTTTTTGCCATTGTAGAGTTTTAAACACAAATTTAAAACAATAGTCACTGATCATAAAATAGCGTAGGACCGGAGGGGTGTGATGTGTAGTTTTCAGCAGAACCTCTAGGTCCAGCTTTTATCTATACCGCACTGCTGTCTGTTTGTCTGAACAGCTCTCGTACGTGGATGCGGAGGGCAATCCGATCGGAGTGGTCCAGATGACGTTCCTGCGTTTACTCAGCGCCACAGCTCGGCAGAACCTGACTTACAACTGTTACCAATCAGTGGCTTGGCACGACCAGGAACTGGACTCTTACGATAAAGCCATCCGCTTCCTGGGCTCCAATGATGAGGAGATGTCTTACGATAACAACCCATACATCAGAGCCGCCGTCGACGGATGTGCGGTAAGAGCTAGAAATATTTGCTGAATTCGGAACTTAATGTTTCTGCCATTAAAAGTCGTTGTAAAATTTGTAATAGTATGTGCTTCCGAATTCTAAAGTCTTTTTTTTTAGCAAGTTTAAACTGAAAACTCTCACAAGCGATGTTCGTAATGCTCCCTTTCTTACCTCCCGCAGTTGAAAAAGGGCTATGAAAAGACTATTCTTGAGATCAGCACACCAAAAGTGGAGCAGGTACCATTTGTTGACATTATGTTCAACGATTTCGGCGGAGCGACGCAGAAGTTCGGCTTTGAGGTCGGACCGGCCTGCTTCATCGGCTAAGACTGCTCAGCGAGCACGCGTGAACAAAACATATTCATTTTCTCTGAAAACAAAACACAAGAAAGAAATAGGACGACTTATTTGTAAAGTTTTGTGTTTCCAAATAAACCCGACAGATACCAAAGTAAGGATAAAAGAAATTTGAAGAAAGAATGGATGTCTAAGCAATGGGTTCTTATAACAGAGCAACCTTTTTAACCTCAGTGTACCCTCTGCATCACATGCAAGTTTTGAAACTGGATGAGGTCATCGCTCGTGTCTCTCCCAGCCCCGCCCACTTTACGCTCATCCGACTCTTTGCCCCTCCCACAGGCTGTATAGACAGATTAAATCCATCCTTTTATTTCCCGCCTGTTCATGGACTTGTAGCTCTATGCACGGCATTGTTCGGCATTTCTCGTACGAGAAATCTTTTCCGCTGGTTTGTTTGCTTGGGTTTTATCTTGTTCTGTTTTCCACTTCTAAGCTTTGTTTTTTTGTGCATACTTGTCTTCCATTCCCTGGAATGGTGATTATATATATAAATATATATAAATATTTTTTTTTCTATGTTTGTAAGTACTTTCTGTATATTTTTTTTCCGGTGAAGTGATTTTTTATTTTTTGGGTTCTGGCTTCAAAACATGCATGTGAACCCATTGAGCGATAAGGACAGAGCTGCTGGTTATTGGAAAACACTTAAAAAATAATAATAATAATAACCCCCCAAATAAGAGCCTGTGGAAATTTCCAGTGAATCTGAAGAAGAGAAAATAAAGGAAATGATTAAAATACGTCAAAAAAGCAACTGCAACAGCAACAAAATGTCTTAATTCAGATGTCAACAACGTCTTTTTGTAATTTAAAGAACAAAATGACAATAAAAGTAAGAAACAGCCATAATGTGAGCATTGATTTGCTACCTGTCGTGTTGAAGTGGCTTCCATAGGTCTGTGAGATCGCGACCTGTGTGCATGAGGGGAATCTTTGATCTGACGTTCATGAATTTGTGCTTCCCTGTATCAGAAGAGCACACATCATACTGAGGAAACACAATATCGGTAAACTAGGTGCTATTTCCTTCTGTCTGTGGTGCTAAAAATATATACCTTTTTTCCTGTACTTGTTTGTTGTAATTGGAAAACGGCTCTACGGTGATGCTCAAGCGGTTCCACGTCTTCTGTCAAAGTCCTAGCTTTGCTTCCCGAGCTGGGGAAGTATTTGTATGCATGCCGTAAAATCATATTCATTTATAGCTGAGAACACGTTTTTTTCTGTTATCATTCCTCACCACGTTTGACAATGTCCAGATTATTAGTATTACATGGAGATAATTGATGTACTTTCATGGTCCTCCAAAGGCTTTAGCTCACACTTTACATCACAGTCTATTTACATGATCTGAAATGGTTAAACGGAGCACAATTACTGTTAATGCTGTCGTGATTAAGGTATTATGTGTAACATGGATCCTGTAATGTAAAGTGTTACTCTAGCTAACAGAAGCGATGGAAATGAAACGCCTTTTCATGTACTAAAAGTTTAAGCATTTAAAACCGCTCTGGAGAATTAGCTTGGGACCTTTTCATTAGATCTTTTTGGAGGGTTCTGTGAATATCTGAACCAAAACGCTTAGAGGAATGAATAGTTAACTTGACTGCCGATTTCAGCTTTCCTTCCAAAGAGATTTCTCTTAATTTAAGAGACTTGAAGAACAAGAATCAGATTGTCTTGTGTGATTATTCAAGGATGTTGTACATTACAAAATTGTGCTAGCGTATATTCCTTCACCTGTCAGAATGTGTTGTCATTGACTAGAGCCATCTTTTTATTCATCTATCATCTTTTGCCACTAGACCTTTTCCTGCACTCTTTTGTTCTGCTTTTTGACCACTAGTCCTGCTACTGCAAGGTCTTGCTCTAATTTTTAATTAAATATGACTTGAACTGTTTCTTTTAAGAGGATTCATATGCAGTTTTGACACCACTTTATCAGTACGAAACCAATTACAACCAATTCTTCTGTAAATTTCAAAACCAGCAGTAATGCTGCCAATAAAGTTTATTCTGTTTTTTTTTCTCTTTTTTTTCCGTCTTTGTAATGTTTGTTTGTTTGTTTTTGCGGTCGTGTCAAACCTGTGTACGAGAAGATAGAAGAGATATTGGTTTTGTGTCAATAAATTCAGGTTTACTGTGTCCACCCACCCTTGTATGTCTTTTGAAGCATTAAAACTTTCCTGTATGCATGAAATTGTTAAGCTTTCTCTTGATGTTTCTTCCCACAGCCATATTTTTTTTCTCAGCCGTATGATACATCCTCTCAGTGCTCCGATGAAAACAGGCCTGTCCTTCATTGTGAAATGGAGAGAGAGCAATGTTTGTTGTAACTCTACCAAAGCCCATGTTCTTTGTAGTATATTTATTGTATTATTTAAAAATAATAAATGTTAATTGATACCAGTAGTGTTCTTGATATCTGATAAATATATATCAGATATACATCTTTATATCTGATAACTGTTATCACTGTGCTATATTATGTAGAGATGCAGAAGAGGAGGCGCATGGACATGTGAAATACTCGAGTGAAATGAAATTTTAAGTATATCACTGGTTATCTGGAACAAAGCCTGAAAAGGCTTTTCTTAAAGGGGTCAAAATAATGATCTTTAAAAAAAGCATCATATGACCCCTTTAACATATGAGATGCATATTGAAACAAACCAAAAAGCGACTTGCGTTAAGCTGGAACGATCCTTGTGAACGATTATTTTGGTGAGTATTCTGACACGAACAAACCTGATGATCATGTTCTGCAGCATTTGAGATGATCCAGTGAGGATCCTGTGCTTCAATGGAACAAGAACATCTGAGCGCCTGCACAAAGAAACACATTTACTTGATTAGTCACACCGAAATATTTCTTATTTTATATCTTAGTTTTACATTATAAAACAATCATCTTAAAGAGTTTTGGACACCACCATTAAAGAACAAACCAAGGATGTAAAAACTGCAAACAAGAGTTCTGACAAACAGATCATGGAACAATCAATGATATTTTTTTTATAACTGTGATACATCTAAATATAATAATTCAGGTTAATTGGGACATTTTTCCCAGTCATCTCAAATTTACAATTTAACTGAATTCACCATATCTTTAAACATTTTTAAAAAATATTTTTGAAGTTTTAAAACTGCACAACCTCATTTGAACCCCTTTGAGTCTATGATGTGTAAATAAATTGTTAGCCAACAACCATCAAATCACATTTAGATTTTTTTTTTAAGACCATATTTTTTCTTAAAACATGAAAATGTTAAACTCAAAGACTGGAAAACAAAAAGCTGGAATCTAGACAATGAAGCAGCTTAAAATGTATTTTTTTTTATTGTTATAATTTAACAAAAGCAGAAAATAAGAATGAGCAAGTGTGTCGAAACATTTGACTGGTAGTACAAGCTTGTCCAACCAAAGTACAACATGCTGTAACTTCAGTATCCGGATGAAAAATGATTTATAGAGTTTTTTCTTATTTGCCCAATATTAAATCTAAATCGAATCAAGATATTTCTCTATAACTGAAGATATATAGTGCACACAGACAGCTGTAATAACCCACAGCTCAGTGATTGGAGTCTTTTCCTCTAGAGCCCCGTGTCCTGGCCTAGATCCATCCCAAAAAGCCCCGACTGCAGGACGGAGCGCTGAAGCAGGGGATATATGAACATATCCAGCAGCAGACAGCAGAATCACACAGCTCGCGGTTACTGATCCAAACAGTTTAACAGTTAGTAGGAAACTTCATCTAATCCCCGTTATGGCTGACAAATCTTGTTCATTTAGTTTTGTCTTTAATGAAAATGGCCAAGGTGTTATTGATGGGTCAAAACATTCTTACTCTTGCAAAAGTTAATTATACAAAATAAACATGCAGAGAATTATATTCAAAGTAATGAGAGCATGATTGAGATGTTTATTGTTGCATACTGTTTCACTTACTACATTTATTAAAAATAGTAGACAGTATGCCAGTATTAGCTCATTTTAAGCTTCTGTTGAAATACTCTATTCTTGAGAATAATAAACGCCCAGTGATCTAAGCAGAGAGGACCTCATGATCACGAAGGACAGAACTACAGGTTGCTATAATTTATGTACAGCATGAATGAAAGAATAAAGCTGTAACAGCAAACATGGCCTTTAGGAGTGTTTGGACTGAAGGCGCACAGCGAGGACACTGGGGTGTGATCATTCTCAAAGAGAGAGAAAGCTTTGAAATGGAAAGTGCACCTTCGACGATATTACAGCCAGGAGTATCTGTGGAAGTGAACTGAAGGAATGTGCTTCACATTAAGAGAAGCCAGAGAACATTTCTCTCACAGCCCGTGGAAGGAGGGATGAACTCACAGAAGAGAGAGAGCGAGAGAGGTGCAGGAGGAGAGACGCGTCTGATGTGTAAATTCTCTGTGTGATGTTCATCTCTGGAGACTCAGAGACTCGTTTACAATCAAACCACACATCCATCCATCCATCCATCACACAGCAGTGAAGCGGTGACACTTAGTATAATCTTTGAGACACACTTGTACATCACAGCAAACCAAAACTCAGATTCGATGAAAAAAATGTCTTTACTATCTCACACCTCATCCGGACCGTGACTGTGTTTGTGACTTGAAATAGTGTTAATTAAATTATCTGCACTGATTATAACACAAGGATGATGAACATATGGCTCTTTACATTGTTATTTCATTACTGCGGGGTAATGAGCTGTTTCTGGCAGTGACGCTCCAGACACACACACACACACACACACACACACACACACACTCTCTCTCTCTCTCTCTCTCTCTCATCTATCTAGACCAGTGTTTCTCAACCCTGGTCCTGGGTGCACCCCAACACTGCACATTTTTTTTGTCTCCCTAATCAAACACACCTGATTCAGCTCATTAGCTCATTAAAAGAAACTCCAGGACCTAAAATAGGTGTGTCAGATAAGGGAGACATACAAAATGTGCAGTTTTGGGGGGCGCCCAGAACCAGGGTTGAGAAACACTGATCTAGACTATCAGTTTAACAAATGGTCCTTTCACACTGAGCACGGCGCGATATAGTGAAGTGAATCGCAGATGAATGGAGATTTTTACACTGAAAGTGAAACGATCGATCACCTTCGGCTCATTCACGCCTGCACACTGTGTGGTACGGTTTGAGCTGATCTGCCTGATCGGCTTAGACCACTGAGAAGAATAACTTAAAAGTTGGTGCAAAGTATCAAAAGGCACACAAACTATTAATAATCACAGGAAAAGAAAGAAAATGTATTTCTCTACCAGCAGCAGCAGTGAGGACGAGTTTGATGTTTTATTATGGAAAGGAAATGGAAAAGATGACGTTATTCTTGAGAAAAGAGAAGAGCACGGCGTGTTCCATAGATTGATACAGAACATGAAGTTGTATCATGAGCTTTCATCCGTACTCATGTCTGTCGGTCAAAAGTTTGCTTAACCTCGTGGCTTTTTCATTGATTAAATCTCGAACGAACTTCTGAAAACCAGCTGACATTGAGCAGTGTTTGGCCGTGTGTTTTAGCTGAGCACATTATCGTTCCATCTGCGTTGTTACAAAGTCGCATGCTGTGTTTAAAGAATAAAATGTTATAGTGTTTCTAATAT